AGAAAAATCCTCTCAGTGATGAAAAAATACTTGTAAGTCCCACTGAAGTACTGCTTTAGTTTAACTAAACATAAGAAAATCACTTATCCTTTTGCTATTCCAAATATACTTAATGCTCATTTTTTAAGATGAGCCTTCTTCCCCCTTCCCCAAAGTAAATGCACTATAACCTGTGAAAGCTGGAACCTGTGTAAGGTGGAAACCTGTCAGAGAAGAAAAACTAAAATATTTTCCACTCATAGTGATAGAAAAGTGGTAAGACTGCACTGTCAAAGACAGAAAACTTGTGAGACCCAGAAAAACAAGGCAGTCCTGTCGAGTTCTGGCTCTCACAGTTTTCACTCTGTCTTTGAAATTGAGGAGAAAAACAAAACAAAACCCAGTGCTGGTGACAAATGTACAGCGAATTCACTTCTTCATTCTTCACAAAGTCTGAAACCAATTTTCAGGTCTGTGGAGAGCTAGAAATTCCTCTAGTTTCAAAGACTTGTTTGTAGACTATGCAGTAACTTTGTTGTCTTTCCTATATTCAAAATCTGCAAACTCTCTGCCCCCAAGACCTCCTCTGTATCCAATACGAAACCCTCGAGGGGTGGTGAAGTTACCACCTCTGCCACCACCATGCCCTCTGCCACCACGGAAGCCAAGACCTCCTCTGCTTTGGTAGCCCCCGCAACCACAGTTTGGACGAAGTGGGATTCTAAATGTTCTGGCATTTAATCTTCTTTCTTCAGCCCATGTTGGTCTCCAATCTCTATTATCATCACAAGGAATATCAAAGAAGGATTTAGTTTTGCCATAATAGCAGTCAGGTCCAAGTGGATCTTCTTGATCAGCGTTTCCTTCACTGTTTCGGGTATGGACTCCTGAGTCTCTTTTATCTTCACAATTTACAGGCTTCTCCTGCTTCTCAAGTTTATCTTCTTTTAATTTAAGTTTATTATGAAACTCTCTGTCAATTTCTTTCTTGTTAAATTGTACATTTGCACTTTCAAAGTCTTTTTCAAATTTCATTGGACCATCTCACCAAATACTAAATCTTCCCCTGCCTCGTTGATGACCGCCGCACCCTCTCCTTGTTGCTGAAGGAGAACCTGGATCTACTTGTTTTTTGCTGGCATTTCTAATTTGATCATTTTCTGGTAGATGGTAGATGGCAAAGGCCTGGTTGATACAGGGCTCCTTCTCCTAAGAGGTGCTAGAGCAGGTAAGTGGGCTGAAGTGGTCTGTACTGCTTGTTCCATGGTTGGACTTTTTCTCAAACGGTCTGACTGAAGGCTTGAATGACTTTGAGATAACTGTGTTTTTAGAGACATTGTATCCTGTGTAAAGGCAGAACCAATTGCTCTACTTTGGGATAAGGTACGACTGCTTGATGTTTCTGTTCCAAAGGATGTCAGGGAGCTTCCAGCAACACCAACAGCACCAAACTGCTGCCTGGCTATTGAATGTGGACTGAATTGACTGTATGTTGGCATCCTGCCAAAGGTCCATAGGAATCTACTGACTGGAATGAAGTAGAGGAGTCTAGTGAAGACTGAAGGATAGCTGGGTCCTGAGGCAAAGAACACTGTGTTTTTGGTGGCTCACAAACAGTGAGGTCTTTAATATCATTTCCGCAGAATATGACGTATTCAAAGACTTCATCTTGAAGTGATATTGGTCTGTCTTTTGTACCAAAGGACCAAACTTTGGCAAGGGCTATGGTGGAGCTCTCAGTGTTGATGGTGTAGAGGATGCCTTTGTAGTGGATTTCCGCCGTGGAGATGAGGTTGATCTTGCTGCCAGTATAAGGGGTTCTCCCTGCTCACGGCACCACTGCTGGGGCCTACAACAGGTACCTCAGATTTAACATGGTGACAATGCTTGTTCCACTGCCCTCCCCCAGCTTCCTGCCTTCAATCTGGGGCATAGTGGCAGCTCCAACTGATTTCTTGTGTTGATTCTATATCCTGCTGCTCTGCTGAATCATTTTATTAGTTCCAGTAGTTTTCTTGTGGAATCTTTGGGGTTCTCTATGTATAGAATCATATCATCTGCAAATAGGGATACTTTTACTTCTTCCTTACCAATTTGGATGCCCTTTATTTTTCTCACCTTATTGCTCTAGCCAGGACTTCCAGCACAATGTTAAATAGGAGTGATGATAAAGGGCATCCTTGTCTTGTTCCCATTCTCAGGGGGGATGCTTTCAGCCTCTCTCCATTGAGAATGATGTTGGCTGTTGGTTTTATATAGATGCCCTTTATTATGTTGAGGAATTTCCCTTCTATTCCTATTTTATTGAGAGTTTTTATTAGGAATTGGTGTTGGACTTTATCAAATGCCTTTTCTGTGTCAATTGAAATGATCATGTGTTTCTTTTCTTGTGTTCTATTTATGTGGTGAATTACATTGATTGATTTTCTAATGTTGAACTATCATTGCATTCCTGGTATGAATCCCACTTGGTCGTGGTATACTTTTTTTTTATATGATGCTGAATTCTGTTGGCTAGAATTTTGTTGAGAAGTTTTGCATCTATATTCATGAGAGAGATTGTAGTTTTCTTTTTTTGTGGTGTCTTTGTCTGGCTTTGGTGTCAGGGCTATGCTGGCTTCATAGAATGAATTTTGGAGTATTCTGCCCTTTTCTATGCTCTGCAATAGTTTGAGTAGTACTGGTGTGAGCTAGCGTGGGGGATAGAAATGAAAGAAAATAAAGAAAAAAATGGCAGTGCAGTGGGAGCTGGCAGGTGGGGGCAGGGTGAACCCTGGGGTGGCGGTGGGCCAATGGCTGTTTAGCAGAGGCGGTGCAGTGGGGGCAGGCAGGAAGGGGTAGAGGTGGTGTATGGGGCTAGGTGGGAGGGAGAAAGAAAAGGAAGAGAAAAAAGCTGTGCAGTGGGAGAAGGGGAGGCGTGCCTGGGGGGGTGGCTTGTATTGTGGACCCTGGTGGTGGGGGCTGCCAGGCCGGAGGGGTTCTTGCTGCTACTCACTAGAAGGGTGAGGGGTGGGAAAGCATGTTTCTCTGGTTACCAGGTGCTCTGTCTCCTGTTGGGAACTCTGTGAAGTTGCTTTCCTGTACTCCCTGTCTGGGGTCATTGCTGGCTGTGTTCCAAGATGGTGATACTGTACTTTGTTAGTTGGCAGGGGACGTCCACTCCGAATCTCTCCTCATTCTGTTTTCTGTCAGTTTCTTCTTCCATTTGGTGTTTGATTTACTTCCTTATCCCTTCATTTGATGCTTAGGGTTCCAGGATTGACATTTGTATCAGTTTTACTTAGTTTTTCAGGTCTTTGCTGCAGAGGGACAGGATGGTGTGTCTGTCTAGGGTGCCATGTTGGCTCCACCTCACAATGCTCCCTTGCAGCTCCATAAATACTAGTTCCCTCTCCTCCCTAAAATTTATCATGAATCCTCAATGCCTAGTAAATTAGTAGAGAACTGAAGCCCACATTCCAGACTCCTCCAGTGATCTCTGCTACCACTTCCCACAATACATATCTAGGCAGGTCTGGTCCACGGGCCCCTGTACTCTCCACCTGTGTCTGGCTGCCCATGCTTCCCCCTCATGGCCCTCCTCTCTGCCCATCCAAGCTTGGCATTTTCCACAATGCCCAGTGAAATTCTTCCCCTCACTGGGAAGCCTTAACAGTAGTGTTAATATAATGCTGCCACATTCTATGCTAATTTTAATAATGATAATTTATATCATATTAATAGTCTTTATTTGATATGTAAATTTTGAACTGTAAACCTGCCAAAAATAAACTTGCATGCTATTAAAACTGACAGGTCTAATAAATTGTAAATTGTGTCTACGCTATCTCCCTATGACCATGTCACTCTAGCTGCTGAGCAGAAATGCCCACCATCCCCTGTGTGGATTAAGCATGAACTCTTGGAGTGTTGAGGTCTTTGGAAGACATCTCTCCTCTATAATGTGGCCCCTTGTATGTCACATTCTAGCACTGGTTGTTCTATGATGCTCTCTTTCTCTGATGGGTCTGGGCTAGTTGTATGGTAGTTCTATGGGGTCGGCTGGGCTGTATCTACCAGATGCACGTGTATAGCTTGCTTAGCTCGCTTACAGGTCTAATGGCTTATTTACAGTCAGAACAGAGGATTTTCTCACACCCAACCCTACCACACTCAGTAGATTGGGATCAAAGAATAAAAAACTGTCCAAGTTTCCATCTAGCTATCTATCAGTTTCTAAGAGAAAAATGTTGATTTTTATAAATAAAATTCTGCTTTGCCCAAATTAAATGACTTTTAATTCATCAGGGGAAAATGTTAAAGCCATTTTTATTATCAGAGTAGTTAAGAGTCGGTTGTATGCTGACAGGTTACCTACAGTGACCCCTTTCTTTTGGAAAAGAGAGTTTCAGTCTAATTCAAATCTTCATTGAGGGCCTACTCTGTGCTAGGCCTGACCCTGAATGTAACCTGAAAATTCTTTAAGGAAAAGGATTCATGTTAAGAAAATGATTTTCTGCCATACTTAATTCTTTTAAAGTTTATTATTTTTTATTGTGGTGAAAATATACACAATGAAACACACCAATTCAACAGTTTCTACTTGTATGATTCAGTGACATTGATTACAGTCTTCAAGTTGTACAGGCATTATTGATATCCTTTTTGAAATTATTCCACTACCATTAACATAAACTTTCTTCTTCTTTTTGCCCCCCCCAAAAATTCCCCCCGTCCCTCCCACCCCTGGTAACAACTAATAATTTTTGCTTTCAGTATATTTGCTTATTTCATGTAAGTGAGATCATACAGCATTTGCTCTTTTGTGACTGACTTAAATCCTTCAGCATAATATTTTTTAAGGTTCATCCATGTTTTGACATGGCATGCATCAGGACTTCATTTCTATTTATGGATAAATAATATTCCATTGCGTATGTGTATATATATATATATATATATATATACATATATATATGCATACCACATTTTGTTTATCAATTCATCTTTTGATGGACGTTTCAGTTTCCACCTTTTTGGCTATTGTGAAAATGCTGCAGTGATCATTGATATATGGGTTTCTGTTTGCATTCTTGCTTTCACTTCTGGGTATATATCTAAGATTGGAATTGCTGGGTCATATGGTAGTTCTATGTTCAACTTTTTGAGGAACTGCCAAACTGTTTTCTACAGTAGCTGTACCATTTTACATTCCCGTCAGTAATGGATGAAGGTTCCTGTTTCATACTTAATTCATTATGTTTACAGTTCAGAATACTGAGCTCATAGAATGAGGAATAGCTGCTATTTCCATGCTCTCTCATAATCTGATGGGATAATAAATCCCTTTAACCATTAAATACCCCTGAAAACAGGTGTCCGTCTGACGGGGGGTTAAAATGTGCCAGTATAAATTTTGCCTGACATAGTGGGTGCTGGTGCCCTGCTGAATGTTTTTGCTTCTCGGTTCCTTCCACACAGTTGTAGACGTCTATCAAGGCTGGTGTGGCCCCTGCAAACCTGTGGTGAGCCTCTTCCAGAAAATGAGGGTCGAGCTTGGCCAGGACCACCTGCATTTTGCATTAGTAAGATTTTCTCAGCAAAAAGCCACACAACACTGTAAGAAAATTGAAAATTTATAAACAGTGAGGAACAGTAAGTGAGCTGCCCTTTTCAGATAATTAAAAAGGCATCAGTTGTGGATTTTTGTTGATATTTGTCATGATGCCTTAAAATTTCTCTAAAGATGAAGATTCCCACTCCCATCCACCCCCATCTCCCTGATGGTCACTGCTGGCTTGGGCACTTCTTGATGTACACCAGGAAGGGATGCATGTCACTCAAATGCATATGCTCCTTCTAGGTTCAATAAACACTCTTGATGGAGGCTTCACTCTTACAACACAGGGTTTCAAGATTTCTATCATCTGCTCCATAACAGGGAATTTTTAGCAAACGTTCACTTGGATTAATATGTGGAAATGGGAATAAATTCCAGAGAAGTGTGTAAGAGACACTGTTGATATACTGCATAGGTTTGAGGTTCATAGAAAATAAATGTAGCTTACACTAATGTCTAAAGAAGTTTTTCCTCAAGGACTTCAAAGTTCCACCCTTGGGAGTCAGTTTTGATGCTTTTGTAGAGAGTGTGTTGAGGAAATGCTTAGGTAGGGAATCTGTTGTACCCACATGGATACAGTGGGTTTATCAGATCTTGAAGGCAGAGTTTGAGTTCCTTTCACTTCTGTTGTTGCCAAGCCTGGCAGCAGCAGGATGTTAGACAGTGCATCACCCTCGTACCAGCAGAATAGCTGAGTGGGGAGCAGGGGGAATCGTTCGTCCTCATCATATTCTCATTAATAGTACACTGTTAGCAGTTTTTAGAAATATGTTGACAGGACAGTTGTGATTCAGACGAAAAGACATTAGAAGGGGCAGCAGGGGAGCAAGTGAGGACTTCATCTGGGTGGGCAGTCACGGGGGCGTGGTTTTTCCTGTGCTGGCTCCCCACTGATCATGCCTCTGTGCCCACTTAGCCCCAAGGTGCCTGCTGACACCTGGTTTTCTTTAGGCAGAGGCAGATGGTCTTGACGTCCTTGAAAAATACCGAGGGAAGTGTGAGCCGACCTTTCTGTTTTATGCAGTAAGTACATTTTCAGAACTAGAATTATGTGACAGTTGCAAATCATTAGCGTTCAGATAGGTACATCTCACTGGCATTAACTCTCCCCGGGAGACAAGAGACCTAGCTGATCCAAGCAAGTGGTGCTGTTTTCTCTGACATTTCCTGTTATTTATTATTTTGGCCACATACAGATCTTCTCTAAGTTATCTCCTATGACTGGGATGGTGGGTGAGGGCATTGCTCTGCTGGGTGGAGCATGGAGAGGTGGGAAGATTCTGCTCCCTGAGGGCCACTCTTGGCTGGGACAGCCTTCATGACTCTGGATGTCCATGGTGAAAGAATGCAAATCACTCAAATGCATATGTCCTTCTTGGCTCCATGAGCACTCTTGAGTGAAGTTTCACTTTCAGAGCAGGGAGGCTTCAAGATTTCTATCCTCTACTCCCTAGAGGGGAACTTTTAGCAAACATTATTACTCCTTTATGGGGTAAACAAGCTTTGCATTCACATTTATTTAATCATAAAATGTGAAGATATGATTACAGAAAGTCAGAAATGACAGGGACTACTGGGGAAAATCAAAGTGGTTCAGAGTTCTGAAAAATTATTTGAATGTCCTTGGGTATGGCATCCATGCTCTGGCTTCCATACCCCTTACGGCCCACCATCTCACACCTGCATTTCCTAGGTTTAGGTCACCTGCCAGGCCTAAAGGCTACTCCAGAGCTCCCTCATTGTACAGGCAGGGAAACAGGTCTGCTCACCCAGGTCTCCAGGTAACCAGGCTGGGGTGATTTTCTTTGGCAAACTTTGGCTTCCTGCCCTTAGCACTGCAAGTATTATCAATTAGGAGCTATTTAAAGCAACCATTATTTGAGCTTCAGCTTTTAGTAGAAGAGAGAAGTTACGTGATAAAACAGGAGGGAGGAGGAGAGGCTAGGAGGAAGGGTGGGAAAGAGCTCAGAGAGATGAACAATCCTCTAGCCAAACTGACGTCACAGGTCAGTTGCAGAAATGGGATCATTACCACAAGGGTTTGATTGCTTGGGCTCTGTGTGATTACAGCGTAAGTCATAATCACGTGCCCGTCCAGCAGGCTTCATTACAATCCCTAACCTTATGGTGGTTCGCTGAGGAGTGGGGTAGAAATGGAAGGAGAACCCCCACTCTACCTGAACTTCTTCTCCAGATCCATTCCTTTGTGAGTAATATACAGGAAGCAGACAATAGAGTACAGTTAAAGCAGGAAACTCAGGTTCATCCCAAACACCTCTGTTGTGAAGTTTTCCCTGACCATCCCAGAGAGAGTTGGGCATCTATGCTTGCCTCAGTTCCTAGCACCCTGTCATTGCCCTATTAAAGCAATGATCTTATCGTATTGTTTCTTTGCCCATCTCTCTCGCCACTCGGCTCCCCATTTGCTGACAGCAGTGACTGCCTTTTCACATTCATATCCTTTGCCTCTGACTTGGTGCTTGGCACATAGTATGTCTTCAATAAAAAGTTGACTGAATGAGCTGTGTATAAGCCACACTTGGTCACTCACAATTTACTATGCACTATTCCCCCTTAACTAACTCCCAGTTGCCTTGAAGGAAGTTTTGAAAGGAGAGACATGGGGGAGAAGATAGAGAGCAAAGAGGAGAAATCATTTAAGAACTAGGGGCAGGCAGGCCTAAGGGCGTCCTGCCATGGGAGGGGCCACAGAAGGCAGCAGCAGTGGTGAGAGCCCACCTGGAAGTGGACAGTGGAGGCTGTGGGCCTGGGTTCAGAGACCCTGACCTTGGGCACACTCCAGAAAAAACTCTTGGACATTCTTGATGTAGCTTGAAAGAGATTAACATGTGAGAAGAGGATTTCATGAAGTGTGACCAGCACTTGTGTAATGTATTCTAGGGAGGAGAACTGGTGGCTGTGGTTAGAGGAGCAAACGCCCCACTGCTGCAGAAAACCATCCTCGACCAGCTGGTGGCAGAGGAGAGGGTGTTGACTAAAGGCAGAGAACGGAAAGTGGTAACCGGGGGTCATTCTACAAGCAGCAAAGTCTCAAATGTGCTCATATGGCAAGGCCAGCAGAGCTTTGTCCCTCCCCCCCCACCTAAATTTTCTGGAGCTATCCGTGGAAAGATTCCTAAAATTCTCACATTGGATTCATTCCTCACTTAGAGCTCAGGGGAGAGCACAATGTCCACTTATTTTGAAGCCTTCTTTTAGAAGTCTTCCCCTTCATCCAGACCCCTTTAACTTCTCTTATCCATTTGGCTTTCACCTCCCACTTCAACTCTTAACAGGGGTTTCTGAAACCCTGAACATGGATCCAGAAATAAAGTTATAGAATCCGATAGTGGGTAGGAAAGTCAGTGGCCCAGGCTCCCCTCAGCCTCACTGTGAAATCTCTCCTCGTGACAGGCCCTCACCTCACATTCCTGAAGGTTTTACTCGTGATCTCAATTTAGAAATTAAGCTCTGTCATTACCATGAGAAATAGGATCAGCAGAATTTGTGACTTGATAAACTATTTTCATGATAACCTAGACTGCAAGTTTTTCTCAAATTACTGGCTGTCTTTTAAAACTAACACACCTGAGGCAGAGAGAATTTCCTCGCACTTTGTGCACACGCCAGGTGAGGCTTAGCATTGTTCAAGTTTGCGTATTCGACTCCAAATAGCAAAGCCCTATTTTTATAGACTGGATTAGAATCAAATCTTATTTTTTTCCAAAAAAACTGGCAATTTTCTCCCCAAGAAAGAAAATTGCTAATGCTTACATTTCGTGTGCCTCTTCCGGGGTTAAATTCTCTATCTCTTTACTACTGCCCTGTATTTTGTAGCCTGTTGGTTAATACTTCATTGTATTTCCATTATTCCTCTGTCTTCTTGCCAATTCTTTCTTTTTTCTTAGTTTCTACTTGATGCTAACGAAATCGGGAAGAATCTATAACTTAAGAACAGCATGGATTTTACTTGTCTTCTAACTCCCCACCCCTCACCATCACCCAGCTACTAAAAAGGATCTTTGTAAAGTTTCCAAGACTCTGATAATCCTGACCCTTTTTCTGCTCCAAAGTTCGGACCTTTACTTCTTTGCTTTTTGAAGGTCTTTCTGATCATTTTTAATTAGCTAACTACTTTTTGTTCATGACCAATTTGTACTAGATCAAAGATGCCCCTCTTACTAATGAAGATGAACGTTTTTCCCATGAAAAGGACAATGGTGAAGATGAGGACGTGGGTGAGTTCAGAACCAGTGAGCAAGACAAAAAGGCAAAGGAGACTCAGATTTGATGTGGGTTTTCAAATATATGCGTAACCAGTTTATTGAGCGGTCTGAATCTCCATACAGTGCTTTGTCTTCAATCACCTGACTTAAACATACTGTGTCAGAGCTCCCTTCTGCCTTTTAATGGTCTCTTGAGCACATTCACAGCTTTCTGATCATGGTCACATCTAGCAAGTGTGACTTTAATGGCAATTCCCAGGCAAAAGAAAAGCTCCATTTACTAAAATGGAGGGTAGTAACACTGCTCATTTAAAATCATGATGATGGTATTTTCCTTAGTCCTTACTTGAACTAAAGATTGCCAAGTTGCTTTTTTTCCACCTTCTTTCTGAAGCATCTGAAAATCTCCCCCCTCCACCCTTGTCCCCTTATTCTCCCAGTATCAACTTACAGATTTCACTCTTGGACATCACAGCTCTTCCTGAAACTTTAATATAAGCAGAACAACTTGACCTGACAAGAGGAAGCCCACACTTTAGGACTCCAGCAATAGTATTAAGAAAAGTCAGAAGTTAGACAGGCTGTTATTGTAAAGGTGTCTCTTGGTGACTGGGACATTAGAGGAAACCAGGATTAAGTTCAGGAACCGAGCTGATAAGAGGACAATTATATTTTATTACTGCAAGCAGTAGAAAGGCTTTTTTTTTGTTTTTTTTTCTTTCCTGTGTGGGTTCTAACAAGGAAAGAGCACAGTTTAGGAGAGCAAGAAGACTTCAAGTATGAAAGAAAATCAGTGATTTTGTCTGCGTGAAAAGTTTGTTGCCTCCTTTTTGGATTATCTCCTCTTTCTCCCCTTCCCTGGTATTTCCTCTCAAGTCTCTTCCACCTAGGGAGCAAAACGAAGTTCCAGCCAAGCTTCCAGAACCTTGTCCACACTCGGTGGCCCACCCCTCACCTTCTGCTCACACCCGCTGCAGTCTGGCCTTGTCCCCACTGCTCTCTGAAATGGTGCTCCCCGGGGCACCAGTGACCTTGATGCCAAATCCAAGTCTACAGCCTATGGGATCTTCTGCAGAATTGGGTGATGCTATTCATGTCTTCCTTCCCAAAACCCTCTTCTCTTGCCGTTTCTGAGATGCCAGTACCTTTCTTGTTTTCCTTCTATGTCTCTGGCCTCTCATTCTTTGGCTTCTTTTCTTGTTTTTCTCTTTCAAGCCAGATTCCTCCAGGCCTCTGCTTTGGTCTTTTCTCTTTTTACTCTACACCTATAGGTGATCTCATTAATCACTCAATTTATAATGGAATTTATCATATGAGTCCCTTACAGTCCAAGTGTTCACAGTCACAGAAAATGAATAGATTTGTTGCTTAAAATGATTTGCACATTTATGGTACACATTTTTGAGGTTTCCATAGTAGAAAGCCCTCCTGAAATGCAGATATTTTCAAGTTTCATTGCAACACAACTGATGTATAAATTGAGAAGCAGAAAATAGGCTACAGGAGAATGCAAGCAGGAATAAAATAGAGACTGGCTTGTGCACTAGACACAGGCCTCCCTCCAGCCTCTGCGGTCCCAAGCAGGTGATACCTCCCTCATTGGCACAACCAGTTGGGCCGGGTGGACCCAGACCCAAGGGCAGCCAATCAGGAGACTGGTCAGTGACTGGTGCCTTTGCTGAGAACAAGCTGAGCCAATTTGATTTTGTCTCAGGAGAATTTAAACTGAGACAGAGAGGCCTGAAGTCACAGTTTGCTAGTCTATGCTGGAGCTGAAAAGTCATGAAAAGTCTTGTAAGCTTGTGAGTTGGGGCAATCATTATTGGCCACATGCCAGGAAAGTTAAAAAGCAGGAGTGAGGGGAGAACACAGACAGCAGTAGAAGCTGAGAAGTCACAAGAGGGTGACAGGAAGCTACAGGAGTGGCCAGGGTTGAGCTGCCTTGGTTCCAACCCCTCTTCTCTGCCCCCTGCCACATAGTCTTATCAGTTGTTTCTGGTTTCTCTTCCTGAGCCGTCTTTCAGCAGCCCCCCGTCCCTTCCCCTGAGGTTCACTGAGCCAGACTCTGTCCCTCACAGCTAGGTGGAGATCAAGGTCTGGAGCCAGACCTGTGCACCCATCAGAGTCAGGGGCTACAGGCACAGCCAAGAGGCCAGTTGAGGGGATGCAAGGAGCCTAGGGCTGTGCCTGGCACTTGGTGCAGTGAAGCCTTTTGTGGAGGCTGCAGTTGTCCCCATGGATGACCTCTGCAGAGCCTTAGAGGCTGTATTGTGAGCTCAGCGTCCAACAGCACTGTCCTTTGGCTTTTTTCAGCTTCACTGGGAAAGACTTGTACCTTGGCCATCATTAAACCAGATGCAGTGGTACATGGAAACACTGATGAGCTCATTATGAAGGTAAGGGAGAAAAAACTTGCCCTCCACAACTGTCTTCATGTTTTCTCTGGGGAAAAACGGGAGGTGTGTCAGGCAAGGGGATGTCCTGGTGGAATAAGGAGGCTTCTAAGGAATTTTAACTGAAATTCCATTTAAGTAAATGAAAATTGTTAACTCTGATTGGAACTGATACCTTGGTGATGAGGGTCTCTACAACTTTTAGTGGTATCTTTTTCTTTTACCTTTCAGCTAAGATAAATGTGAATTTGGGCTTATCCTTCGGAACATTTATATATATATACACATGTGTATATAAGTGTGTGTGTGTGTGTGTGTGTGTGTGTGTGTGTGTGTGTGTATATGCATACATATATATTCTACAGATCCAGGAAGCTGGGTTCGACATTTTAACCAATGAGGAAAGAACCATGACAGAGGCAGAAATGCGGCTTTTCTATCAGCACAGAGCTGGAGAGGTCAGCTCATCTACTTCCATACGTTAAGAACACTCTTGTTTCTTTCTTTCTCCAACACTGTGTTTATAGATTGGTATTAGTTTGGGACAAAGCAGGTTATTATGAAGAACTAGAATATGGACAGCAAGTGGGCCATGAATTTGCTCTCAGAATAATGATTCTAGGCTGTATCAGTTAAAGTTCTTTGATTGTAAGGAAAAGCTTCTGACTCTAAAGTAACAAAATAAGGAATTACTAGGATACCCCATAACTTACAGAATTGAAGAAAAAGAATTGAAGGGAGAGTTTAACAATAAAGTCTTGGGGAGAAGAGTCTGGTTGACCTAGCTTGGGTCACAGTCCTGCTTCTTGGGTTGTGGGTGTGTGTTAGTGGGGGGGAAATCATGGTTTTCAGTCAAACTACGACCAAGTGGAATGGGGAAGGGTTGTTCCCCAAAGGAAAACTAGGGTACTGTTACTTGAAAAAGGGGGAATGACTGCAAGGCGTTGCAAAAAAATAAATAAGAGAAAAAAGTTCTCAGCTATGTTCTACCCCTTGCTTATCCAGTATCCATACAAGATTGTATTTCCTGATACAGTGAAATCTGTGAGAGCTGGAACTTGATGGGACTGCCTTGTTTTTCCATGTCTCGCAAGTTTTCTGCCTCTGACCGGGTGCTATCTTACCACTTTTCTATTGCTTGTTTTAGTGGAAAATATTTGAGTTTTCCTTCTCTGACAGGTTTCCGCCTTACAGACGTTCCAGCATTTGCAGGTTTTACCTTATATGGCCTTTTTAGTAAGGAGCCCTGGTGGCACAGTGGTTGAGTGCTTGGCTGCTAACCAAAAGGTCAGCGGTTGGAACCCACAAGCTGCTCCAACGGAGAAAGATGTGGCAGTCTGCTTTTGTAAAGATTACAGCCTTGGAAACCTTATGGACAGTTCTACTCTGTCCTGTAGGGTCAGTATGAATCGGAATTGACTCACTGGTTACAGGTTCAGTTTTTTTGTTTTTTGTTTTTGCCTTTTTAATGCCCTTGCTTAACTTAATATAATCATTTCATGTTCAACCAAAAATGAGTCAACTAAAAGTCTCATGCCCTTAACTTATATCTGGGTTTTCTGGGTGTGGTTGGTCATCATCACCGCCCCTCTCTGGCTCTTCCATAGCAGGGAGAGAGGTAGCCAGACAGGGGAGGTGTAGTGGTTGGGTGACCATGGGCATGCTGACTGGTAGAAAGGCTTCTCACTGACCCTCTCCCATCTCTTAGGTGGGATGGGTCTGGCTGGCCCTTTACAAGCCTCAGTGGCCCTGCTCTGGATCACTGTCTTCCCTCCTGTGCCTAGGAAGCGTTTGAGAAGCTGATACATCATATGTGCAGTGGACCAAGCCATCTCCTGATCCTTACTAGGACAGAGGGTGTCGAGGATGTGGTCACTGCCTGGCGAACCCTTATGGGGCCCTGTGACCCTGACGTGGCCAGGAGGGAGCAACCTGACAGGTGATACCACCAGCTGCGGTCCTTTCATCCATCTCAAAACCCATATCCAAGGATGCTGACAGCCCCACTCGATGTTCAGCCCCAGAACTGTGGGTAACACAGAAGGGTCTCTGACAGCTGGGAGGCCCCTTCTTTATTGTATATCTGGCGGACCATGACCTCTTTGTTATGTATTTGGGGAGACCCTGATATGCTCCCCTTCTGATCCATTCACCAGCCCTTTGCTGAGTGCCTCCTGGGAGCTGCCTCCTTCCTGCTTTCTCTCTTCTTCTGCATTCTCTTGAAGACTGCTGCTGCATTCGGTCCTCAACCACACAGTGGGTCCCATGTATGGGCCCAGCACCACTTACAACAGACTCATCGGGAAAATGCAGATTCCAAGGCCTCAACCAGGCCTGCTAAGTCAGAGATTCTGGGCTAAAATCTGCACTGTAGACTCACCCCTTCCTGCCGGGGTGTCCTGAAGACCCCTACCATTTGAGCACTGTTCTGTACTGGCCTGTACAGGCTGGCTTGGTCTGCTCCTTGGCCCTGTGACTATTTAGCCTGATGCAGCTGATGCCAAATGACTGTGTTTTGGCCCTTGAAGCTGAGAGAGGCCCAGCTAACTGGAGAGAACCAGAAATTAGCAAGAGGCCAAGTAACTGCAATTGTACCCTGTAGTTGTAGGGGGCCAGGAACATTCATCTATGAGGCAGCCTGGGCTAGTGAAAGGCAGCCCAGGGTTCAGATCTTAGCTCACCAAATACTTGGGCAACCCCTCTCCGAGCCTGTCCTTTCGTCCGTGAACTGGGATACAAGCACTTATCAGGAGAGGCCATACAGTCAGGGTTAAGAACAGACTCCAGAATCCTCTTACTAACTGTGTGACCTTGGGCCATGCTTTAATCTCTCTGTGCCTCAGTTTCCTCATCCAAAAAACGGTGCTATAACAGGAACTGTCTGAGACATTGTTGTAAGGATTAAATTTGTTAATATATATCTATGAAACACTTAGGACAGTGCTTGACACACAGGAAGTCCTAGCAATATCAACATTATCTCACAGGGTTATTGTGAGATTACCTAGGCAAGCATATATAAACCACTTGGCATGGTGCTAGCCTCTGGTAGTAATATCAACAAAATGGCAGCTCCTGAGATTACACCGTTACTCAGATGCCTTTAAAATGGAGATAATGACCAAGTGTCCCTGATAAGCTGTGGTGCAAATGAAATGAAACCATGGATGTAAGGCCCTGGCACTGTTCCCAGACATGGCGGCAACTGAATACACCTTAGCTGTCTTATTTTCACTGCCGCTGTTCTTGGTATTTCCAACAGAGGGAAAGCAACTTCACAGGGTTGCAGAGTGCTGACTAGTAATTGGTGATCATGATGCCAGAGAGCAAAACCTTTCTCTTCAAATGAAACAACTGTTTCTTTTACATTTTGCCAACATCCCAGTCTCCGTGCTCAGTACGGCACACAAATGCCCTTTAACGCCGTCCATGGAAGCCAGGACAGAAAAGATGCCAACAGAGAACTGGCGCTGCTCTTCCCCAGTTTCAAGTTTTCAGATGAAGGGACAGAAGCCCCTCAGGGTAAGTCATCAAGGCAGATTTGGTCTTTTTAAACCTGAGGTGAAAAGGAATTTGTGATTATGTACTTGAGTGTGTGTAAGGACTGATAATCACTATTTGGCTACTAAGTCTTTCATAAAGTCCTGTAGAAAAACAAACAAACAAAAAAAGTTAAACCCATTGCCATCGAGTCAATTCCGACTCATAGTGACCCTACAGGACAGAGCAAAACTGCCCCATAGGGTTTCCAAGGCTGTAATCTTTACAGAAGCAGACTGCCACATCTTTCTCCTGAGGAGCGGCTGGTGGGTTCCAACCACTGACCTTTCAGTTAGCAGCCGAGTGCTTAACCACTGCACCACCAGGGCTCCTTGTTCTGAAAATAGGGGTCATTGTATAACTTTGGAGTCCCTGGGTGGTGCAAACGGTTAGCTCGCTTGCTGCTAAAAGAAAGGTTGGTGGTTTGAGTCCACCCAAAGGTGCCTTGAAAGAAAGGCCTAGTGATCTACTTCTGAAAATATCAGCCACTGAAAACTCTATGGAGCACAGTTCTAGTCTGACACTCAAGGGGTTGCCATGAGTCAGACTCAACTGAACCACAGATGGTTTGGTTATGTAATTTTAGCATCAGTTCTGAACTGTTCTGTGCTTTCATAAAAACAGTGCTGCATTTTAATACCTCAATAAAATTTTTGCTGCATTCTTAAGCATGAATCTTATTTTGGGGTTATATTTTTGTTGCAAAGGTACTTTTCATTTTCCTGTGGAAACTACTGGGAAAACTGAATTGACTTAATGGAAGCTGCCTTCAAAGCCAGTCATCGACCAGTTGTTGCCCCGCACTTCCTGCGTGCTCCGCACCACACTAACCCCTTAGTGGGGTATCTGAGAGGGAGAGGGCTGCAGGCCACAGAATCCTCTTCCTGGAGCCTGCTGTGACCCTCCTGCCCCTCAGCCGCCAAATTTGGAATGGGTGCTCATAATTCAGGGCCCTTCCCCTTCGTGTAGAGCTTTCCCAGACAGCCTCTGGGAAAGGCGTGCAGGGTCCTCACTCCACCCAAACCTGGCTGAGAAACTCAAAGGGTCCAGAGAGCATGTGACTTGCCCCATTAGGCCTGGCCCCTGTTGCTCCTGCTGTGGAGTTACATGTCTCTGGTTTGAACCTGAAGTAAAGTGGAAGGGGCCAGGGGGTGAATATCCTGGATCTAATTCTTGGGAGAAGACTGCACACAGATCTAAAATGGTAATAAGCTATGTGTGCCCTAAATGTTTGGGATTTAACTGACATATTTGCTCAAATGTTTGTTATGCTCATGGTCTCCTCAAGGTTTCAAACCCAGTCAGGAAAAATAGGTGGTCAGAGGACACCGTAAGGTAGGGCAGGAGGTGACCTGTACCAGCTTGTTTAATTCTTGCCGCTACCCTGTGAGGTGTAATTATTTCCACTGTCAGCTGAGGAACAAACTGAGAGTGTGATGGAATTTAGGGAGTCATGTGATCATGGGAAGTATGGCTCTGCTGTGGATCAGACGTGAGTCTAAACCTCCTGTGCCAACCGTTTGTCACAGTCACCCCTCGCTTTCACTTCAGCGAGGGAGGCATCACCAGGGCCAACGTTCCTCTAGAGACCTGCCCTCAGAGGGATGCACTTCCTTATGTCCACGGTGGTGGACACCTCTCATCCTTTTGGGAAGTAACTGGAAGCAAATAGGTCTAACTCGGGAAGGAGGAGGGTGAACCAGCTGAGAAATGCTTGATGAGGGTACTGGAGAGAGTCAGAGATCACGAGATTGACTTTTTGGCTAGAGTCATCATAAGGGGTCTCAGGTGATAATAAGCAAAAGGGAAAACTCCAGAAGGACCCAAGCCCAGATCACATATGGGGAATAAGTGCACCGCCTCCAATGGGCACTACTTGAAGAAGCACCCACGTCAATGTGCTGCTGTTGTGCTTATTGCTTTGATGTCAGCGTCATGCCTTCTGAGGTTTCAGGAACAGTGACATTTTCAACTTACCCAGCACTTTTCCTGCGAAGAAGAAGCATTGGGGGCAGGGGTCAAGGGCTCTGAAGACAATCCTGGGTTTGAATCCTGACTCCAGCTGAATAGCCTTGGGAAAGTTATTTACCCTTTCTGGGCCTCAGTTTCCTCATCTGTAAAATGGAGATAATAATAGTCCCATTATGACCCCATAAGAACAGCCTTCCTCACAGGGCTGTTGTGAAAATGAGAGACAAAGGATGTAAAGCTCTTAACTTGGCACTTGACACGTATTAGTGCTCAACAAATGTTACTCATTCTCCTAATTCTTAATTTCTATGCGTGTTTATTAACACACATATTAGGACCCCTCTTTGGTGTCCCTCTTACTCCCACCCCTAACTTCATTGTCAGTGATATAGGTAGGTCCTCTTTTCCTCCTTGTGGATGGTGGGTAGGGCAGAAGGACCTGGGAGGGTTGTTTTGGAAACCCTACAGCACATCTCTTGTTGCACAGGTGGCCAGGTCCAAGGAGTGGTGGGCCCTACCGAGTCGCTGAGCTTCCCCAAGAACATGGATTGAGATGGCTGTGTTGCTCTTCCTGAGCATGTGACCAGGGATCAGGCCACAGGATCAAATGTTAGTGCACTCAGGTCTGCAGCATTAAAGGTGCCTCCAGAATTGGAACTCACTCTTTCGAGCACCAATATGTTTTTGGTTTAACTGTCTTTCATGGGCAATGAAAAGATACACTTTCCTTTCTTATTGAACAGTGTATCGAATGTATACTAACTTTTTTTGCTGTCTCTGGGATTTAAAAAAATAAATGAACATCAGTTATTATATTCTGCTGTGACATGGTGTCATTTCAGGGGACACTGAGTTACAAAGGATAGTGTTGCCCCAACAGTAAATCTACTTTATAGATTTAAAAAATTTGAGCTGTTAACTTGGTAACCATGAACTTGAACACAGTGCAACAAGATTGGGCATGGCACTTCCAGGCACACTGACGTGGAGGCAGATAGAAATCAGCTCTAAACACCTCTTCATGCTGCTTACCCGTCACAGGGACAGGCATGTCAGATGTGCCAACCTGTGGATCTCCACCATTCAGGGCATGTTCGTAAAGCAATGCTTGGAGGTTATAGTTGGAACCAGGATTCATCTAATTTTCTTGACAACCTCTTCCCTCCTCCATTTCTTTGGCTTCTGATTTTGGATAAAACCTAATTTTAAAACCTGTGGGGCCAGGCTGCCTTCAGCTTCCACTAAATTGGCTTAGCTGCCTCTCCATGGGTTGTCTTTTAAAGGACACAGGAAGTTTCACAAAAAGTAATTGTTATTACCTCTGTGAGTGTTAACATACACAGTCACTCGCTCTTTCCAGTTTGCTCTTTGGTTCATTTGTAAATTCATCAAACCCAGTTGTACTCTTCTCTCTCTGACTGAGAAAAAGGCCATGTTCTTCTGCACTATGGGGTAAATGTCAGCAATTTCCTTCTCATTTGCTGGTTTTCTCCAGAGGTGTTTGCTATGACTTGAAGAAGTTCTTTAAATGGGTAGGGAGCTCCCAGAAGACTGTTCTTCATGGTTGCATTAATCTTTCTGTTGGCCTACAGCACAAGGCACTCTGTGCCAGGCCCAGTGCTGGCACTGGAGAGAGAAGGATGAGGCAGGATGCACTGAAGGTGGGACCAAGGCCTGTGATACTGGGTGGGTAGTTGTGGTTCTCTTAGGACCGTGTATCACTTCTGGATGGAAACATGCATGCCTATTGTGCTCATCAGGACCTGGACGGGACCCTCACATGAAGCAAGGTGCTAATAGAGCCTTCACTGACGGGATTTGCCTGGAAAAGTGGATCCCCAGTTTCAGAACTGCAGACACACAATCCACCATGGGGTTGTGCTGTTCCCTTTGAGAGTGGGCTCAAGAGGGGGAATCCACACAGTCTGTGCCCACCTCAGAGCTGGCAAACCACTTGAAGAAGCCCTAGAGCCCATGCCTGGGCTGCCACACCAGTGCTGAATGAGCTACTTGGGGGCAGAGGTGCACCAAAATGACAGCTATGTGATCTCTCCGGAACCCAAGGCTCTTCCATCACTGGCAAGATGAGAGACGGCGTGACCAGGAACTCCAAAAGCAGGGGAGAGAGGGGAAGAGCAAGTAGAAGAGCTGAGCTCGTTGGGGAGATGTGTTTGTGTGTCTGTGATGGCTCTTTAAGGCTTCCAGGAAGTAGCTGGGCATGGCGAGGCTGGGGAGGGGGGAGGCGGGTGGGCCACTAGGGCCAGAGTGGGAGGAGTGGCGACATGTGCCCTCCTCCCTATTACTGGTGGCTCAGGGATACTGTGGGTTCAGCCTTGTAGGGCATCCCTTCTTAAGAGTCTAGGAGTTCCTTGCATCAGGAACGGAAGGCTCCTGAGAGTGGCAAAAATGATGGCCTGACCGTATGGGAGGAAGTCCTGTGGCAGAGATGCTGGGCCTGGCCTCCCATAACACAGCACCCCAGGGGCTAGAGGATGGGCACAATGTTTGGCATTAAGGCCCTTAGCTCCTGGGCATGACTGATGGACAGTTTGGCTGGCAGGCCTGGCCCCCTGAAGTAAAGGAGGGTGGCTCCTTCCTAAGGACTGGCTCAGGCCCTCCTGACTGCCAGGTAGAACCAGAAGCAGGTGCCAGGGGCTGCAGAGACAGGAGGAAAGGTGGCTCATTAGTCCACTCCATGGCCCTTGGAGCGGGGGGGTTCCCTCAGCCTCCCTGAGGCCAACTCCTGGACCAAAACTTTTCCTATGCTAGAAACTGACAGGTGCCTCTCTGCCTAGCTATCAGGGAAGGGCAGAGCATAGGGATGGCACTATCCCAGATGGCAAGGTGTTGTGACCTGTTTCTGTGGGCCATCCATCAGGACCTGGGGTGGGAGTCTCCCTTTCCTTTCTCAGGCCCCACTTCTGAGCTTCTCCTGTGACAGTCATGAAAAGAAGCCTGTGTGGCCCTCCCCCTATTCTCCTGGCCTCAGGTTGTGTCCCCTCAGAGCTTCCCTCCACTTGGATCCCATCCCCTGGCAGCCACCTCAGCGTCCTCCCCCCACATTCTGGGGCATGTGTCCATGGCTTTCTCTCCATTTCCAGTGAGGCAGGGAGATGGGAGGTGTTCTCTCCATTTAGAGATGGGGTAAGGAAGACAGCACAGCCCATAAGTGGAGAGCACCCATGTGTCCTTGCAGAGGGACAGCAGCTGCTTCTGCACAGGCCATGGATCACGTGCCCAACTCCAGACTCCAGTCCAGCGGGCGGTGGCAGCAGAGGTGTGGATACCTGAAGGGGGAGAGGAGAGGACAGAGGAGGTAGGCCCTACATTAGAGGAGCCTTGGGAAGCCTTGGTGGCCGGGAGCAGCCATCTATAAGTCTGCTGGCCCTCAGAAGGAGGTCAGGAGAGGGTTTCCCAGACTGCTACAGATAGATGCTCCTGGGAGCTGGGGTCACTCGAGCACCTGGACTCCACTCTGAAATGCAAAGCCATTTCCCAGCCCTTCATTCACCAATAGCCACAAGTTCCACAGGTTCTAATGTTTCCTAATGTTCTAGACATTTGGAAAACAGACTCCTTTTTAGAAGTTGCCATGATTTTTCTTGGCTTTTATTAGTATGTGTTAAAATCATATTATCCAAACACTAAGAGAAGAACATGTAATGTTCTAAATAAAGTGCTTAAGAAAAAAAATAAAAGCAACTTATTAAACTGGACATTCTTTTCTAGTTCATAAATTCTGGGTTACAATCAGGGCACAAAAAGATAAACAGAATGCAGCATTAGAGAGAGCGAGAAGCTTAGTTAAGAACTTGGGTGTTGATACAAGATCACATCCCACTCTTCCCACTTCCTTGCTGACTGAACACTACACCTGCATGAAGCAGCAAAACAGCTTTGTTTTAATAAATACATTTTCCTTCATTTAAATCAGAAAAAAAGTTAATTATAATAGAGCATTTTTTGTTTGACCATCTGTTTATGCCCACAGGCAAGATTTATCCACAGAGCTTTAATGTCAAAGTGTTATTTCATTGGGCTTTCAGCTTTCTGATGCTATTTGGGCTCAAGATTGTCTCAGCAATTTGTAATTGGTTTCTTTATATTTACTTGGTACTTTTAATACCAACTCTACAGTGTTTTATGCTATAAATTCTAACCCAGGATATTTTCTCAGTATTAGAAACTACAGTGCATGGGCATAAGTAAGGCTTTATTTCCAATAAGCTAAGTTTTTGTTAAGCTGGCATTCCCACACTAGCACTCTGATGTCTGCACAAAGCCCAAGTCCCTGTTTTGACAGACTTTTAAATCAGTGATGTTCTGAAAAAATAACAACTTGGAAATCTGTGTTTGAATCTTGGGAGGTCATGTTGAGATCAGGAAAAACTGCACTAAATACATTTTTAAAAAATTCCTTTGCAACCAAACGTATTTCAACTCTTTCAAGGAAGATGCAGGTTGGTGACAGGGCAGCCAAGATGTAAGCAACCCCATCAGGAGTGGCAGATGGGTCTGGGCACCCCCCCTCAACTGGCTCAAACTCACTGTGAGCCTGGGTCACAGACCTTGCTTCCTGAACGCAGTGCCTTTGACCTTCTTTTAGCAAAGGGAAAAGGAAAGCTGGTTCTACCTTCAAACAGACAACAGAAACTTCTATTGAGTTCTGCCTTGAAGCTGACCCAGAAAGCAGCAGGTACCAAGCTAAGGGCTGCAGAGGGCTAAGCAGTACTTGGCTGTAAAAAGAAGTCATCTTCGGTCATTTATCTTTGGTCATCTTGGGAAGATTCCCTTTCCTTCTCTCAACTTGAGTGCTTCTATCTTCATGCAGGAAAAGTTCTTAGCTGTATCTTTTACTAAAATTTTGACTTCATTTTACGAAAACATACTGAACATCAGTCCTGAGCAACTAGTATGGAGTTTGCTGAGCACAGCTGAGAGAAAGACAGCTTTCCTATCCTGTTCTTTGCTTGTTTCTACAGAGGGTTCTGTAGAACATTCTTTAGTTTCATAGTGATAGATGCTGTTCAGGAAGCATAGGTGACCTTTCTTTTCAGGAAGTGATGACCTACTTCACTTTGAGATTAAAGTTCCATGACTGCCTGTTAATCTTGCTGGATACTGTCATACCACTGACAGGATCTCGGGCAATGGGAGGGCTCTAGGTCCCAGGTCCTAGCACGGGCCGCCCACCACAGCCATGGCTGGCCTCTCACTATCAGTAGTTATACTTCCCTTAGAGGTTTCAAAAATCCTACAGTGAATCTGTTGTCTCACTCCACTCCACCCTGTCTATCTGTCTTGGAAGCCTGAGAACTTATTGACTTAAGCTGAAAAAAGGCTCTGTACCTGTTAATATTGACGGCAGTAAGATGCTAGCTCACTGTTTTGCACAGCACCATATATAGTGCCTGTTATTCAGGCCAACTATAGCCAACTTTTTCTTTTTTTTTTTTTTTATAAAGAAAATCTATGTAAGTTGAGGTTCGGAAATGCATATATTTTTTTACTTACAAATATTCATCTGACCAAAATTTAACATAACCTTTATGGAACACTTAACAATTATTTTGTTTTTAAAATAACATTTCATTCAAACTGTATATAATTCAGTAAAGTTTTTATACAGCAAGCAATGCTTAAACCCTGGAAAATCTGTAGAAAAGAGATTTTCACAAAAAATAAGAACAAAATTCTGAGGTATCCCTCACACACACGCACACACACACACACACATACACACACACACACACATCCATGCTGACCCAGGTGCACAGACACATCAGTACACACACGCCTGTGTGTGCACACAGACACATACATTCTCATTCACAAAGTGGCTGCAGCATAGGCAAAAAATTGTAGGTCCAAAGGAAAATGATGACTGATTGTTCTAATAAAGAGTCCAGGTAGCTCAGAAAAACAAACAAACAAACAAAAAACACAATAGTCCTCTGAGGAAATTACTACCTCAAAAAAAGTGTTCTCGAGATGAATTTGAGATCTAAGCCTACTAAACTGCTTTTTCAAAACAGCTCCCTGCAGTCCAAGGTGACTTGTGCAAATAGAAAGAATCAAATGAGGCTAGTTCCTGTACTTCCTTAACAAGGATGCGGGGTGCTCGCAGGTGCCCGGGGGTGCCTCCCATCACGCCAGGTACTGCTGCAGTGCCGTCTTTGCCCTGAAATCACAAAGGTCCTGTCAGCCATCATCTCAGAATTTTAATTGGGGCAAAAAACCTGTGGCTCAATGATGGTAGTTGGGGAAGTCTAAAGAGGTAGATCCCCAAGAGGAATTGGGCTGAGCCCTCCCGGGCACCTACTTTAAGGGGCAGAGATCCATGGTCAGCAGACACTTCATCTCTTGTATGCTCTGACATTTTACAGTTTTCCTGGGTCACTGGTGTACAGTTGTGATGGACCTGGAACTCTTACTTTCTCCTACTGCCGTGTAGATTTTGCCTAGTCATGCAGGACGTGGGAGAGGACACTGAGGGTTCTAAGGAGCTAAGAGGAAAAATGACCCAGGAGGAAGTGGTCAGGTGCTGATAAGAAGGTACACAGCAAGTACCAAGAGCCCATGGGATGAAGCTGCCTCACGGTTCAAATGCTTCCAGATTGGGGAAGGAGGTTACAATTTCATCTTGTTCTTCCCATTATGCTTGATGACACTACCACTAATTGTTACGGGATGTGTGCTGTTATGGTGATTGGGGAAGAAGGTGGGCAGGTGGAGAGGGAACGATACAATGTGAACAGTGACTTAACCTATTATGATCCTTGTCAAAGTGCAGCTCTCTTTGAGCTGGGCCTGAGGATGTCTCTTTGCTACTCACTCCCATCATGAGCTTCTAGTTTCTAAAGAGGCTGCACTTGTGGGAGTTAGACAGCAAGCTATGCTATGGAAAGAAACGGCTAAAAATTTCAGTTACTATTAGCTGATGAAAGCAATGCCAAGTAGACTGGGCATATGGAAAGTTTGACTTGAGTGCAGTTTCTATAATAAGTAGTAGATGTAAGTAGTAGATACAAGTGGCATATTAAGAGATATTTTTGCAATACATGAGTCTATATAGGTGATAGTTGCAAACAGTCCAATTCATCAGAATACAAAGCTTTAGACAGACTGTTCCCAAGTTATGGGTAAGCTGGGTTCTACAGGTCATTTTCCTACAGAAACAAGTTTATAAATGATGCTACAGGCTACCCCTTAATGACTATCCACCTCACCCCCCCAAATCCATAAAGAGGCTAAGGAAAGCAGTCCTGACAGAGGTGGGAGTCTCAGGCCCCCACAAATCTGAGGCCCTTTGAGCCGGTGGTTAAGTGGGGGACAAAGGGCTGGTTAGCGACAGCTCCTCATCTGTTAAATACGGTATTTGAAAATCATTGGAGCACAGAAGGGGCCCTGACAAAGCCTGGGGGGTGAATGGCCACTGTCCAGGCATTCTCTGCCCACCTCACTGGTTGTTCCTTCTGCTCCTCTGCTGGATTCTCATCTTCCCCTAAATGCCGGCAAGTCCCAGAGCTTGGTCTTAGCCCTCCTCTCTTCTCTCTCTCTTTATACTCCCTCTAGGTGACTTTATCCAGCCCGTGGCTTTACATACTATCCAAATTCTTATCCCAGCCCCACTCTCCCGAGTCCCTTGGATGTCTAGTAGGCATCTGAAACTTGGCATGCCAAGCCAAGAACTGTTAATTCTCCCTATCCCAACCTACTCCTCCTGCATTCTTAACCATCTCAGTAAATGGTAACACCCTCTATCTAGTTGCCCAAGCTAAAACCCTAAGCATTTTCCTCCTCCAACATCCTGTATCTAATCTATGAGCAAGTCCTGTTGGTTCTACCTTCAGATTAAATCTCTAATGTAACCACTTCTCACCTCTACCACTACCACCCTCATCCAAGTCACCATCATCTCTTACCTACATTACTGCATTACCCTTTAACCAGCCTCCCTGTTTCCATTCTTGCCCTACAGACTATTTTCTACACAGCCCCATTCAAATCAGATAGCATATCCTCTGCTCAGAACTCTCCAGTGACTTCCCATTAAACTCAGAATAAAATCCAAAGTCCTTACCATGGTCCACAAAGCTCTCCATGATCCGGCCCCCTGCTACTTCCTGATTCCACTTTTTATCACTCTACTCCTTATTTATTTTTCTCCAGCCCCACTGGTCTTGCTGTTCCCTGAACATTTCAAGCTTATTCCTGCCTCAGGGTCTTTGAACTATGTATCTCCTCTTCCCAGAATACTCTTCCTTTAAACATAGGCCTGGCAGATATCCTCATTTCACAAATGTCGTATCCTCAGAAAGGGCTTTACTGACTAACCTACCTGAAAACCATGTTTCTTTCCTCTCCATTCCCTCACTTTGCTTTATTTTTCTTCATAGCACTGCTCATTACTTGATACACTGCATATTCACTTGCTCAGAGGAGCAGAGACTGGGATGGTAAACCAGATGGGACCAGATGGGTAAATAAATGAAGGTGTGCTACTGTAACAGGCAGGTATGGCTGCAGCATAGGGTGAGCACTGGGGGGACACGAGAGGCGAGAAAGGCAGAGCCAAACCATGAAGAGTTTCCGGGCCATGCTCAAGAGTCTGGAGAATGAAAAGAGTTCAAGTTCCCTGCTGTTGTTACTGTTATGCATGGATGTGAGCTGGCAAGTGACAACTGTGTTATGAGGGAATGTACACAGCTGGGAGGATAATTTTTGGCTATTTCTAGGTTAGAGGAGTCTCTGATGATAGCTCCTGCCTCTTCCAGGAAATGGTGAGCTCTCTGAAGGTGGGGGCTCTTTACTGGTCACTGCGGTGTCTCCAGCAGCCAGGCCAGGCTGGCACAGGGCAGGCACTCAATTATTGAGATAATGGATATTCTCATTATTGGACTTTCTGCTTTCCAAAAGGACACACGCATTTCTATTCTATGGACTCAGAGAACATAAGGGAGCTGCCTCTGGATCCTATCCAGTTACCCACTAAGATGGTCCAAGCCCATGTTAATTCAGAGTAAAGCGAAGAGTCTTTAATAATTTGCTGATTTTTAGTTTATATCTCACCCAAAATGTCAAACAGTTGGCTCACATAATATTAAAAAGGGAATCCAAAAATCTAAAAGATTTTAAGTTTGGCCATGTGAATTACCAAGCAGTCCAAACCCTTTTATAAAAGAATCCAATTTCCCCAAAGCAAAGCCCTTTTACTTTGATACTCACTTGTCACAAAGGTTTGAATCTGGTGACTGACTCAGTTTATGTAGAATATCTACGATGCCCATGTCTCGTAATTTATCCTGACGTTCTTGTGAACCTAAAAGATTAAAGCTAGCAGGTTACCAGGAACATGATCCAGAGGTTGATCTCCCTAAGGTACAATCAACAATCTAAGCCTTACCAGTGTCCTTCATCCAGTACCCTTTCTGTCCCCCTCACTCCTCACTCTCCCCCATTGTAGTTCATTCCCTCACACCTGGACCCTCCAACAGTCTGCTAACTGGTCTCTCTGCCTCTTGACCCTCCTTCCTCAAGTCTATGCTGGGTTCTGGTGCTGGATTAGTTTCTTCGCAAACTATACCGTCAAGGTCAGATTCTTTCAGTCTGGCACAAGGCCCTGTGCCAGCAGGCCCCAGTTTCCACACTTCTATCTGGACATACCCATGCCCCTGGCCAAGCCAGGCTCTTCCTACTCCTACAGGTCCTGCCTTCCCCTCTTCTATTCTCTTCCCCCTCCTCTGGCCTCCCAGCACTTGTTGCCTCTCAGTTATTAGCAAGTGGCAGTTCCAATTTCATACAGCTCTGTTCTGTCTTCCTACTAGACTAGGACCTTCTTGTGGGCTTCGTCTCCCCTAAGATCTTAGCAGAGCCTCTGGTACTCAGATGGCACTTGGTATCTGTGGGTTGAATTTCCTCTCCTTCCACTTTGTTCTCAACACAAATGCTGAGTAGAGTAATCCTCCTGCAGTCTTTCTTCCCCACTGAACAGCCTGCAGTGACTTACTCATGCACCAACCCCTCTAGACCCAGTAAACCAGAATCTCTGGGGTTGGGACCCAGAAATCTGCATTTTAAAAAGTTCCCCAAGTGATTCATGCAGCCAACATAGGACCAAGGCCCACTGCTCCCCTGCATCTGCTCTCTACCTTGGCTTTACACGGGAATCACCTGGAGCTTTAAAAAATACTTATGACTGAAACCCACCCCCAGAGATCCTGATTTCACTGGTCTGGTGTAAAAATTCCCAGGTGATTTTAATGTGCAGCCAGGGTAAAAAAACCTTGGCTCTACAGAGGCCTCCTTACAGACTGGCAGCTTCTGCTTCACTAGTTGTACTGTATTTCTCATTTCTCACCAATGCAGCTCTCTCTCCATCCAGCTGTAGTCTTTATATGTGCTTCCTCTGCTCATGATGAAAGGCCCACCCTTCCACCCCTTCTCACCATCCTCCTCCTCAGCTTTCTCAAGGACAGGGACTGTCACTTCTCTAGGGTCTCCTCATCCCTACCCTAGTCATCTGCTACAGTGTTGACTCCAAGGAGGGGCCTCAGTACCCGCTGTCCAGTTGGCTCAGGCTGGTTCCACCAATCCTCATACCAGAGTGACTCTGCTGGGGGTTGGGGCCAAGCAGCCCAGTGAGTAGGGCCCCTGCCCAAGATCCCAGGGGCACCTGCTGCCTTCCCTGTGTGAGACCCACTTCCCAGAATTTTCTTCAGAACAATCTCACCAATTTCTTACCTTCCTCTTCATTCCATATGAGGTTTGATATACAAAACATCGCGGCAAGCTGCAGTTTCACATGTGAATGACCCTATTTGATGCAGAAAAAGGGGAAAAATGGAGGTAATGGCATTTTAGATAATTTTTAATAACATGCCATAACCAATCCCAATAGCCAAAAAGTTTGAACCAGTGGCCTCAAACTCAAATGCCTTGAGGAGCCAAGAGGTTAAAACTAATGAGTGAAAGGGTTGGGTTAAAGAGAAGAGGGAATGGTGGAGAATCTGGCAAACTGATAAGTGCAAGCCTTGCCAAAACACATTCAAATTCAAATTTTCAAAACCCTCTGGACTGGCCAAACAAAACACCTCTGAGGGCATAGCTGCATATTACAATTTACGATTCAACCCAAGCACATGGAAACAATGGCATATGAAAACTCTATGCTTTTAACTTAGGCTCTGCTATACCTACATTAGGAAACTTTCAAATTGCTGGAAGCCAATGCAAGTTGGGTGGATGTGTATGTGGTATTTATCTCTTCAGCTACTGATTATCTTGTTCAAATAGTCCAATATTTCCTTTAGGGAAGAAAGTGAGTCAGGGAGCTCTGTAACAACTGGGCTCCCCGCAATACCACCCCGCCGCCACAATTTATAAATGGCATACTCCCTCCACACCACTTGCTGGAAATAAGAATGATTATACAATATGTTTGGCTTTTGGAATAATTACTCTTATTTTCAAAGGGATATCCCCTCAAAACTTGATTGATTGAGTCTCTACTTGATTTATCAAATGTCTCTACTATGGTTGAAGAGCCACCTATTTGTCTGAAACAATTCTTGTTTATTTTTCTTTATGTACTGAGAGTACAAACATTCCTATGTAAGTTGCATCATTTATAAAAGTGCTTTCTCCTAAATGAAAAAGGAGCCAAGATAAAACAATGTTTATAGATAATTTCCTATTGGTCAATTAAAAACAACAATAAAAGCTTCCATTTAAATGATAATTTATGCATATCTGAGGGAATGCCAGTGGCATGATATGCCCAGTGGTTTCTTGAAAGCTAAGACAGACTTATCTCCTCATATCAGCCTATATGTCATCTAAGCAGAGACAGAGAAATGGACTTGGCTTCCTCCGTTAGGATCTATGATTAGTGATTCTTCTTCCACCTGCCAAGATTTTTGAAGAGATGTTCAATATGGGCAAATTGACAAAACAAAACTCATCATCTGCTCCCAGCCCCAGACCATCAACGAGTATTTGTTGGATGAGTGAACTTGTATACAGTACAACAAATAAGTTTCTACTCTGTATTAGTTAGGAGCCCTGGTGGCACAGTGGTTAAGAGCTTGGCTGCGCTAACAGACACATGAGGAAATGCTCGCCATCATCAGCCATTAGAGAAATGCAAATCAAAACTACAATGAGATACCATCTCACCCCAACATTACTGGCACTAATTAAAAAAACAGAAAATAACAAATGTTGGAGAGGCTGTGGGGAGACTGTAACTCTTATGTACTGCTGGTGAGAATGCAAAATGGTACAACCATTTTGGAAAACAATATGGCACAACCATTTTGGAAAACAATATGGCACTTCTTCAAAAAGCTAGAAATAAAAAAACCATATGGTCCAGCAATCCCACTCCTAGGAATATATTCTTGAGAAATAACAGCCATCACACGAATAGACATATACACACCCATGTTGACTGCAGCATTATTCACAATAGCAAAAACATGGAAACAACCTATCAACAGATAAATGGATAAACTATAAAAATGATGAATCTGCATAACATCTCACAACATGGATGAATCTGGAGGGCATTATGCTGAGTGAAATAAGTCAGTCACAGGAGGACAAATACTGTATGAGACTATTATAAAAACTCATGAAAAGGTTTCCACAAGGAAAGAAATAATCTTGGATAGTTACTAGGGAGGGGAGGGGTGAGAAGGGGAAAACACTAACTAGAAAATAGTCAAGCGGTAAGTTTGGTGAAGAGTAAGACAGTACACAAAAGTGGGGAAGTCAGCACAACTTGACCAAGGAAAAGCCCTGGAAGATTCATAGACACATACAAACTCCATGAGGGATTAAGTTACTGGGCTGAGGGCTGGGGACCATGGTCTCGGAAGACATCTAGCTCAACTGGCGTAACATAAAGAAAATATTCTACATCCTACTTTGGTGAGTTGTGTCTGGATCTTAAAAGCTTGTAAGCAGCCATGTAAGATACATCTACTGGTCCCACCTCGTCTGGAGCAAGGGAGAACAAAGAAAAACAAAGACATAAGGGAAAGATTAGTCCAAAGGACTAATGGACCACAACTACCACAGCCCCCACCAGACTGAGTCCAGAACAGCTGGATAGTACCTGGCTACCACCACTGATTGCTCTGACAGGGATGATAACAGAAGGTCCTGGACAGAGCTGGAGAAAAATGTAGACCAAAATTCAAACTCACACACACAAAAAAGACTAGACTTACTGGTCTGATACAGACTGGAGAAACCCTGAGAGTATGGCCCCCAGATACCCTTTTAACTCAGTACTGAAGTCACTCCTGAGGTTCACCCTTTAGTCAAAGATTAGACAGACCCATAAAACAAACACATAGTTCAACCATGTATACGAGACTAAATGGGCACACCAGCTCAGGAGCAAGGATGAGAAGGCAAGAGGGAACAGGAAAGCTGGATGAATGGAAATGGGGAACCCAAGGTCACAAAGGGGAGAGTGTTGACACATCATGGGGTTGGCAACCAATGTCACAAAACAATATCTGTATTAATTGTTTAATGAGAAACTAGTTTGCTCTGTAGACATTCACCTAAAGCACAATTTAAAAAAAAGAAGAAATTAAAAGAAAAAAAAAAAAAAAAAGAGCTCAGCTGCTAACTAAAAAGGTCAGCAGTTCGAATCCACCAGCAGCTCCTTGGAAACCCTATGGGACAGTTCTGCTCCGCCATATAGGGTTGCTATGAGTTGAAATCGACTTGATGGCACACAGTAACAACACGTATTAGTTCATTCATCACCTATTCTTCCATACATTCACTCAGTATTTTTTAAGGAGATGAACTCCTATGATAGAGAAAACTGGAGGGTGGGATACTAATTTAAGTGGAGGGCACAGAAAAGATTTCTTTGAAGAAAGCAACATTTAAGCAGACTTAAAGACTAGGAATGTGCCAGTTGTGCAAAGAGCAAGGGGCTAGGGCTCCATAAAGAGGGAAAAGTTCCTGAAAAAGCCCAAGGCAAGACAGAGCTGTATGGCTCATGCATATTGAGAAGGAAAAGTGGAGTAACACTAGTTCAAAGAAGTAAGCATGGCAGAATTGCAGGCCATTGTAGGCCACAAGGAGCCCTGGTGGTGCAATGGTTAAGTGTTCAGCTGCTAACCAAAAGCTCGGCAGTTTGAATCCACCAGCTGCTCCTTGGAAAACCTGTGAGGGCTGTTCTACTCTGTCCCATAGGGTCGCTGTAAGTGGGAATCAACTCGACAGCAATGGGTTTGGTTTGGTTTTAGTAGGCCACAATAAGGACTCTGGATGGCGTTCTGAATTAATAGAAAGCCCCTGAAGGATTTACGCAGGGGAGGGACAAGAGCTGATTTCCATTTTAAAAAACCACTTGGGCTGAAGGAATTGGAGCAGAAGTACAGAGGTATCTAGGAGGCTATTATACATTACAGATCAGGCATGAGTGGCTGTGGCTTGGACTAGGGTGAGGGCAGTGGAGATACAATAGATTCAAGATGGATTTTGGAGGCAGAGCTGATAGGACCTGCGGATTACATTAGACGTGTGAGGTGACACAGCTGGAGAAATTAAGACTGACTCCCAGATTTGAACAACAAGGTAGATGGTAGAGTCATACTGAGAAAGGAAATACCAGGGGAAGAAAAATGTAGGTTTAGGGGAGATATTTAAGAATTTATTCTTGAACGTTAACTTCAAGAGACTATCAGACAGCCACACAGGGATATCGGGTAGGCAGGAGGATATGTGAGTCTGGGGCTCGGAAGAGAGGTCTAGGCTGGAGGTATACAGTTGGAAGTCATCAACATAGAGATATTAAAAGCCATGGGAGTAGATGAGATTCCCCTAAGCCAGTGGTTCTCAACCCTGGTTGTATATAAAAACCACATGGGGAACTTAAAAAAATCCTGATGCCCAGGCTACACCCAGACCAATTAAATCAGAATCTCAAGAGGGAGAGGGACAAGGCAACAGTATTTTTTAAAGCTCCCTAGAAGATTCCAATGTGCAACCAGGGTTGTGAACCACCTATCTTAGGAGAGCATGCAGGAGAGAACAGAAGAGAGTCCAGGGTTAATAAGGGAGATAGGTGTCATGGAAGCCAAGAGAAAAGAATGTTTTAAGGAGGAGCGAACAGTCAGTTGTGTTAAAGTCTGCTATAAGATGAGCAGAAAAAACTATTCTTTGGATTTGGCATCACAGAGGTCATTGGTGACCTTAACCAGAACAGGTCCAGTTGGGTGACTGGGGTGGGGGTGGCGGGGGGAGGAGAAGCCAGATGAAACAGGTTAAAGAGTTAATTTAGAGGTGAGGAAGGAGATTGCATGTGCAGAAGGTACTTGAAGACAGCAGGGAAATTAGGTGTACCTCAATGGGTATGAGAAGTTAAGGGAAACTTTTTATAGATTAGAGATACTATGTGGATACGGTACTGGGAAGATAAGGGAAGTCCTGGTTAAATCAGTAAGGTTTTCATTCAACAAATATTTACTGAGTAAGTACTAAGGGCCAGACACTGTACAAGATGCTGGATATACAACTGTGCACAAAACTGACATGTCCTTGCCCACATGCAGCTTACACTCAACAGGCACATAAACAAACATCTATCACTACAACTGAGCTAAGTGCTCTGACAGTAGGGAACAAAATACAGTAACAAATAACCTACACAGATAAGGTAGCCAGGGAAGAGCCCAGTGAGGCAGTATCAGTAACTGAGCCCAGAAGGGTGAGAAGGCATGTGATGCAGGAGCTGGGAAAAGTGTTCCTGGCCATGCAGTTAGCATGTGAGAAGGTCCTGATGCAAGAAAGAGCATGGCCTTTTTGAGGAAGTGAAAAACGTCAGTGTAGTTAGTGGACAAAGGAAAGAGGGGGATGAGACAAACTGGGGATATAGACAGGTCAGTCACACAGGATTTACAGAGGGTATGGATTTTACTCAGGATGTAATAAGGAGCCACTGGAGGATATTGGCCTCTGTTCTCTTTATAGAGCACAAGGTCACATCATCACAAAGAGTAATAAGGGAGGGAAGAGGCGAGGTTTAAAAAGTGAAAGAGAAGGTAAGAACCTGTCCTGGTGGAGAATGGGGGTGCCAGCTTACTAGAGAATCACAGAAGGATACCAAGCAGTGCTTAGTGCTCATCTGGGTTTTGTGAATGTGAATTTAACACAAATCAGTGAGCCTGATTCCATGCCTTTCTCTAAGGTGGACAGCACTGAAGTGGCAGGCAAAGAAAACACCGATTAAGTGGGATTTAGGAAAGTAGGATTCATCCACGGTTAGAGTTTTGCTAGGAGACATCAACAGAATGAAAAAAACAAGTTTGAAATTGAGATTTTGGCAACAGGGCAGTTTCCAGTGATAACATGATCCAGGGTATGGCCACAGCAATAGGTGGCTGAGGTGTTTGGAAGGAAGCGGCAGGTTGTATTTGGAAGTGAACCGGTCAAGATCTAAGGTGCCAGAGGACTGGAGGGTTCATCCACATGGAGTTGAAACCCTGAGAAGGAAGACAGGCACGGGGGGAATGGGAGGAATTAAAGGAAGATAAGGGCCCAAGTTCTCACCAAATGTGAGGGAGACAACTGGTCAGTGACAAGGATGAGGAATGGGGTGGTGGATGGTAATACTGCCAAATGGCATAAGTTTCAAGGAATAGGTGTATTTTACTTTTTCCTTTTCCTTCAGGATTGAAGAAGTTCCTTGAATCTGTCATAGAATAGTCTATTCCTTTTTTTTTTTTAAATCTCTGCACAATTTGTTTTGAGCTAACAACACTATAGTTCCTGCCTTGTAATTCTGCAGCCAGTGTATAGCAGTGAAAGGGGACAAGGGCCTACCATGTAATACTTGATTTTCTGCAGTATGTCATCATTGGTCATAATAAGTTCTTTTGCCGTTGTCCCATCCGCTATGTTGGCCAGGATGCACAGTGTCTGGAAAAGAACAAAGGGCCAGTGGTCAGGAGAGCTCTGAAGTCCCCAGACTCAACGTGATCGAACTCTCAAGAGCTTGGGCAGTTTCCCACCTGAAGGTGTATGGATTCAAGCAGCTTCCACTCTGAATGCCCTGATTTCTCACATCCTGATGTCACTGCCAACAACAGTAACCACACTTGAGGGAAGTCTACTTTAAGGCAAATGAGAACCCAAGCATTTCTGGGCATAAGCATAAGCTAGGTGAAGACAGTCATGTCTTATAGGTCATACTGTCACATAAATAAAAGGAAAAACATGATTTATAACTTTTTTCTAGAAAATTTCATTTCTAAGAGAAGCTCCTGTTACTAACCCACAAGGTTTCTTCAAAGATGTGTTCTCTCTAGAGACAGCTTCATAGGTGTCACAACTCTCCTCCATCCCCAAGGCTGCTACTTGCTCCCAAGCTGATGACTTTCTGGGTGAAGGCCTGTGCCCTGTCCACCAGCTACACTGGCCATGAGCAGTTAGGCCCTCTCAATTTTTGGAACCCTGTGGGAGGAACAAATAAAATGTGCAAAGGAGCCTAGTCCAGTGTGACCTAATGTGGAATTTCGAGGGAGCCTCTGCCAGCTGGCAGAACAGTACATCTGGAGGATAATCACCACATTGGTGACTGGAGTTTTCTCTCAGAGGAAAAGGCTGTTCCATACAGCTGTTATACTCTCACAACCAGACCAACAGGAAGCAAGGATTAAGGTGAAGGTGAAAGGACTGTGGTGGAGATACTGAACCAGTGCCAGCCTTAGCAATTCAACAAACATATACTGAGCACCTATAATGTGTGGATATGGTGCAGGGCATCAGGGTTAGACAGGAATAAGACACATTCCCTGACTCTGAAACTGTCACACAATGACATTTCACCATAGCATGACTGAAGTTAGAACAGAGAACTGAGAAATAACAAGGGCACTTTTTCAATACCGTAAGGGTCAGGGAAGGTTCTTGGAGGAAGTGTCACTGAGTCCTGGAGGACAGTCAGAAATCACCCAAAGAAATGGATGAGAGGTGGGGATGAGGGCCAGATTTCAAAGAATTTTCTCCAACTCTAACCTTTACAAGACTTCATGTTGCAGGCTATAGCTAATTCAGGAGACTGTTTTCTCACAGTGGCCCAAACTCTCAAATATTTTAAAGGATACGTGGTCTTGTTTCTCCTGGATTAACACGCTGCAGAAACTAGATTATTAGAGAGTAAGTCCTGAGGTCTGAACCAGAGAAGGCTGCTTCTGGGATAGAGGAGACACGGAAAGGTGCAATTTATAATCCAAGGCCTGAGCATACACTAGGGGATTATTTATTGCAGGGCATTCTTAACATAAGGGGACATTGATTATGTCTCAGAATGGTGAAAATATCAGATTTCTAAGTGATCTGGCCTATGAGCACTGGTATGTGGTGAGCCTCAAATTTCTCAGGATTGAAAGGACAGCAAGGGGAATAAACAGAGGTTTGGAGTACTTTAACTTTTTATTATTAAAAACTATTAAATTTCCAAAAAAGCTGAAAGAACAGCACAATGAACAGCCAGCCATACATACACCACCTAGACTGAACATCTATTAACATTGTGCCATATTTCTTTAAAGAGTCAGTGTGTTCTTGCATGGATGTGTATGTATATGGCTGTGTGTATTTTTTATTTACTTTTTTTATTCTGAAATATTTCATGAACTTTAACACTAAGTGCTTTAGAATATATTGTCTAAGAATAACGGCATTTTCCTACATTCCTACAATACCATTATTATGCCTAATTAATATCATTGATCTGCACTTTTTGGTTAGTCTCTTATGGGAAAGACCCTATGAAGAGATATCTACTGAGTACAAGTGGAATTAACAGGGACAGTTAGTTCTGGAAGGAGATGATAGTAGACTGTTTTAAAGGGTTGTCCAAGTCCAAGATGACATCAGACCCATGTGATTGATGGTTGCTCCACCCATGTTTTAGCCTCACTTGAGCCTACAGAAGAGGGTCACTGAACACCATATTCAATTCCCTCTTTCCTCCTTCCCACCCTATGTACTGATATTCTTGCAGTTTAAATCTGTCAATACCAGACTCACTAATGCAGATAAAATGAAAATTATGTGTGGAAATACCATGTGCCTTCTAGTCCTTCTCTTCCTTCAGGTGATTATAGAAAGACTCAGAAGACTAAGCTTTAAAATAATAACCTCACCTTCCAAGAGCAAGCCAGTAAGATGACATTCATCAGTGGAGTGATCCAATTCTCACCATCATGGACTGAACTGTGTCCCCCCAAAATATCTGTCAACTTGGCTGGGTCATGATTCCCAGTATTGTATGAGCGTGTACCAGTCTGTAATCTGACGTGATTTCCTTATGTGCTGTAAACTCTATCACTATGATGTAATAAGATGGATTAGTGGCAGTTATACTGATGAGGTCTACAAGATTAGATAGTGTCTTAAGCCAATCTCTTTGGAGATATAAAAGAGAGAAGTGAGCAGAGAGACACGGGGACCTCATACCACCAAGAAAGCAGTGCCAGTAGCAGAGTGCATCCTTTGGACTTGAGGTTCCTGCGCTGAGATGCTCCTAGACCAAGTGAAGACTGATGTATCACAAGGACCTTTCTTCAGAACCGACAGAGAGAGAAAGCCTTCCCCAGGAGCTGATGCCTTGAATTTGGTCTTGTAGCCTACTAGACTATGAGAAAATAAATTTCTCTTTGTTAAAAGCCATCCACTTGTGATATTTCTGTTATAGCAGCACTAGATGACTAAGACACTCACCAACTAGGCTCTGCCAGGCTTTATTAAGACAAAACCAAAAAGCAGAGAGTGAGGCCAAGTGATGGGAACAGAAGTACGGTCTGACTAGGAGTGGAGGAAAGGGCAGCTCGTGGAAGAGTCCATAGGTACTTTCTCTCTTGTTCTCAATTTTCCCTTATTCCTCACCAGAAAGGCCCAGTCCAGAGTTGGCCAGAGTAGCTTATGAGGAAATAACAGAGGTTGTCCTAATCATGGATGAGAATTTAAAAGCCTTCATAACCTAGGTGTACCTTGGAAGAGGAAGGAAATAGCAAACACCTTTAGACTCACCACTAAAACAGCATATAGGGGGGAATTTCATCAAACATTCCTCAAAATAGACGAGCTCAACAAGACAGGTCAGCGATTCCCCATCCTGGAGTGTTTGAATACACCCAGGCATCTGCTTTGAAGCTCAAACAACCCTTACTGTAAATATCTTAAAGAGATCAGTTAGTTCTTGGGCCAATTCAACATAAGAGCTAGGGGACACAAATAAAAACAAGTTATCTTATCTATCTACTTACATATAAAATTCAGAAAAAAGGCTCAGCAATAAAATGCTTAACTGTAATATATACTATGTGACTCACTGTGGATAAACGATTCTTCAAAAATGAGAAAGCTTAACTGGTAGTGAAGGAAACAAGTGAGATCTGGCCTGCAATGCCTGAAATCATTCTGATTTGATGATAGCTAAGCAACAATCCACAGGCCAAAATGGAAAATCAACCCCAAGAGCATTGGCTGAGTCTGCACAGGAAAGAGGTCTCTCTTCATTGCCCAGAGGATCAGAGGAGGGGCAGAGGCTTTAACCAGAAGAAGAAACTGGGTGACACAGATCATCAGTTCTCCAGAACTTAAGGAAAGGCATTATTCACAAATAGGTGCATCTTGGCACTACAGTAGGTCTGACAAAGAGGAAAAGTGGTGTCACATTCATTGTGAAAAACAGTATATCAAGAGCCATACTGAAGTACAATGCTGTCAGTGACAGGATAATATCCATATGCCTATAAGGAAGACTGGTTAATATGACTATTATTCAAATTTATACACCAACCACTAATGCCAAAGATGAAGAAACTGAAGAATTTTACCAACTTTGGCAGTACAAAATTGATCAAGCATGTAATCAAGATGCATTGATAATTACTGGTGACTGAAATGTGAAAGTTGGAAATATAGAAGGATCAGTAGTTGGAAAATATGGCTTGGTGACAGAAAAGATGCTGGAGATGGCATGACAGAATTTTACAAGACCAATGATCTATTTGTTGCAAACACCTTTTTTTCAACAACGTGAACAGATGGAATACCAGATGGAATACACAGGAATCAAACTGACTACATCTGTGCAAACAGACAATGGAGAAGATCTATATTATCAGTCAGAACCAAGTGAGGGGCCGACTGCACAACAGACCATCAATTGCTCTTATGCAAGTTCAAAGTCAAGCTGAAGAAAATTAAAACAAGTCCATGAGAGCCGAAGTACAACCTACAGTATATCCCGCCTGAATTTAAAGATCATCTCAAGAATAGATTTGACACGCTGAACACTAATGACCGAAGACCAGACAAGTTGTGGAATGACATCAAGGATATCATATACGAAGAAAGCAAAAGGTTATTAAAAAGACAGGAAACAGAGAAAAGACCAAAATGGATATCAGAAGAGACTTGGAAATGTGCTCTTGAACGTAGATTAGCTAAGTGAACGGAAAAATGAAGAAGTAAAAGAGTTGTAGTTTGGCTCTCATGGAGTTAGAAACCAAAAGGGAAGAACAGGTTCAGCATTTCTCAAGCTGAAAGAACTGAATTAAAAATTCAAGCCTTCCCCATGGACACATCCAAACTCCCCAAGGGACTGAGTTGCTGGACGGAGGGCTCTGGGGACCATGGTCTCGGGGAACATCTA